GAGACGGACTCAAAGGGCCTCGTAGGGTTGTCGTTGTTCATGAGGGGTTCCTGCTGCTGACTAGGCTGCAGCACCTGGCATGGCTCGCAGACTTGAACGGAACTAGCGATGTCGGAGTTGATGCCTGGCCAAAAAACAGCTTGTCTCGCCCGGCGCTTCGTAGCTTCCACACCCCTGTGGCTGTCGTGCAGGTGGGCTAGGGTGCGGCGGCGGAGGGCGGCAGGAACCACAACTCTTGCTCCATACAAGATGAGGTCGCCATCAGCATAGAGGTCGTCCCGCATCTTCCAGTATGGGAGTAAAGAGCTGTGTAAGTCGTAGCGGTTAGAGGGAAATCCCGAGGTCACGCAGTTCAGTAGACGGATGTACGAAGGGTCCGCTCTTGCAGCGGCTCGGAGTTCCTGAAGAGTCCTGTCGGCGTCCTGCGGTGGAGACTCTTCTGAGATGACGGCGTTCACGGTCACTACAGTCCTGAGGTGTGCAGTAGCAGGTGTGCAGTAGCATCAGCACATGCGATCTCGTCCTCTGGTGTGGGGTGGCTGACTGGGGCTCGTGACAAAGCATCAGGGATGCAGAGCAGCTTGCCCGCACGCCACACAGCTGTGAAGAGGTAGGCGAGATCTTCTCCTTAAGGCGTTGGAGGCGGGGATTCTCGACCGCATCCAAGGAGTAGTGGTTCAGGATCGGGATGAGTGGCCGATGATCCGTCATGAGGTTGAAGTGTTGTAGGCCGATCAGATACAACCTACATTTGGACATGGCCCAGACAGCGGCTAACAGCTCCAGTTCGATGGTGGCGTAGCGAGTCTCGGCGTCAGTGAGAAACCGAGAGCCACACTGAACCAGACGAAGGCGTCCATTGCCGTGGTCCTGTAGCAGAGCGTATCCAATCCCGTAGAGGCGAGAGGCATCAGTCTGGAGGACAACTGGCAGGGCCGGGTTGAAGGAAGCGAGAACAGGTGGGCTAAGGAGAGCTGTCTTGACGCGACGGAATGCCTCATCATGGTCAGCTGTCCAGGTGAATGTTCTCTTGGGGCTCATCAGGGGGCGTAGGGGCTGCGCTGCAGCGGTGATGTTGGGGGTGAACTCAGCCAACTGGTTTACCAGGCCCATGAACGAGCGTAGGTCGGTCAGGTTGGCAGGAGTTGGGAAGTCCCGGATCGCGCTGACCTTTCCAGGATCAGCCGAGATGCCCTTGCCTGAAAGGGTGTACCCACAGAAGTTCACACTAGGTGCGGCGACCACAAACTTATCCTTGTTGAGGGTGATCCCGTACTTGCGGCACCTGGTGAGCATCTGGTGAATACGCTGAAGATGCGTGGAGTAATCCTCGTCATATAGGAGCACGTCGTCGATGACCTTGACACAGTTCGCCACACCCTGAAGGGCCATGTCACCACGGAGGCAGAAAGCATCGCCAGTAGCCGCGAAACCCATAGGTCCTCTGCAGTGCTGAAATCGGCCGTACGGTGTGAT